TAAAAGGCTAGAGGATGAGCGTTTCAGCAAAAATGACTTGTAAGTTGCGAAATCAATATATTGAAAATGTGTAAATTTGATAGATTTTAAGGTTGATAAATAAGAGACGTTCCGAATGCTTGGGTTGGAGGAACCACTGAATCAAACGTTATAGCGGGATACATTACTAAGAATGGTTTGACCACAGAGGTCTTCAAATAGCATCATTGATCTACAATCGGTAATGAGATTCGATATCGTTTGATGCTGAAATTAGCACTTTGCTCATCTAGGCAAATCAAAATGTTTCCTTTCCACTTCCTTGTTTCGCATTTACCATAAATTTCCTTGACCATTGTGAACAAGTCAGCTATCGTCAAGGCGCTGGCACTGATTTGTCTGAAGACTCAAAAGAAAGGAAATTGGGAGTATAGATAATAATCAAGTCTGGAGGTGATCATGAAAGCATGATTTACCATATCTTTACCAAAGAGTTTCTATAACGAGGCCCACTCAATAATGTAAGAAAGAAAACTATGCAATGGCATTGGTATGCATCAGTGTTCAAAGGCCCCTGATTATGTATATCACTTGTATGCTTGTTATTTATCTACCCTGATGAGGTGTGCCTCCCAACCGTGAAGTGTAGTTTTTTGCAACTGTCGCAGAGGCTACCAAGGGAATGGTAATCACGCAATAGAAGTTTCACTTGGATGACTCACGACTAATTGTGTCCATTCTTACCTCCCATTTCCTATGGTGTGCACTTGTTTGCGTAGGTCTCTAAGGATCGTCTGTGCTACTGCTCCGACTGCTGTTACTAGTTGTTTAGGTGCTGTTACCCAATGTCGGAGTGTACCAAATATTGATAGGCCTGATTTTTGTCCTCATTGACATCCAATCAGTGTTATTGACTGAGTTTGCTCATTTGTGCACTACACCATGCAATTTGATTTTGCTTTCCCTGTTAAAGAATGACTGGCGCTCATTCACTTGCGTTGTTGTTCCGGCCTAACTGAGAATAGTAGTGTATAGCAAGTTTTAATGCATGTGCTTTTTAAGAATTTTGATCAGGACAAGTTGTGAGGGTGCTAGTATCTCCTTTTCTGTCTTGCTCATGTCCCACTACGAAGAATGGAAAAGGGCAAAGTAGAGTTGGATACTCAAGCACATAGTGATGTGGGTAGCAGTATCGTGTGAATGAGAAAATAAGTTGGGAGACTTTGCACATATGATCAGGAAGTAGAAGCCTGAGTGCATTGGAGGAATGTAATTTTATTAGGTATTGTATATATGTATGCATTATTCATAAGACTCCACGCCTAGCTTGCTTCTCTGCATTCTAATATTTTCAGTTTATCCTACATACGTTTGTGGAATATGGGATCTGCGTGCTTGTGTTTTTTAAGGGTTATCTGCGAGTTGATGTCAAGAAATGCATTGCAGGACCCAGGCATGTGGTTGGGTTGTCACATGCCTGTGACAAAGGTAGTGGGTCGGTGGACCAGTCAGCAAGCATCTGACTACTAGCCACTTCAGTGCCTAATTATTCTGTCGGTAAGATGGTCTTGAGGCTGTTACATTGACAGGAGCTCTGACAATGTTGCTGAGGCTAGATTTTTTTATTTGCGCATGTTTATAATGTCTGACTGACCGTGGCCTCTGAGTGGTTACCTACATACTTTGAGCATACTTCTACCTCATGTGAGCTAATAAGGAGGGACTATCCGGGAGCGCAAATCCCTAAAAGGCTAGAGGATGAGCGTTTCAGCAAAAATGACTTGTAAGTTGCGAAATCAATATATTGAAAATGTGTAAATTTGATAGATTTTAAGGTTGATAAATAAGAGACGTTCCGAATGCTTGGGTTGGAGGAACCACTGAATCAAACGTTATAGCGGGATACATTACTAAGAATGGTTTGACCACAGAGGTCTTCAAATAGCATCATTGATCTACAATCGGTAATGAGATTCGATATCGTTTGATGCTGAAATTAGCACTTTGCTCATCTAGGCAAATCAAAATGTTTCCTTTCCACTTCCTTGTTTCGCATTTACCATAAATTTCCTTGACCATTGTGAACAAGTCAGCTATCGTCAAGGCGCTGGCACTGATTTGTCTGAAGACTCAAAAGAAAGGAAATTGGGAGTATAGATAATAATCAAGTCTGGAGGTGATCATGAAAGCATGATTTACCATATCTTTACCAAAGAGTTTCTATAACGAGGCCCACTCAATAATGTAAGAAAGAAAACTATGCAATGGCATTGGTATGCATCAGTGTTCAAAGGCCCCTGATTATGTATATCACTTGTATGCTTGTTATTTATCTACCCTGATGAGGTGTGCCTCCCAACCGTGAAGTGTAGTTTTTTGCAACTGTCGCAGAGGCTACCAAGGGAATGGTAATCACGCAATAGAAGTTTCACTTGGATGACTCACGACTAATTGTGTCCATTCTTACCTCCCATTTCCTATGGTGTGCACTTGTTTGCGTAGGTCTCTAAGGATCGTCTGTGCTACTGCTCCGACTGCTGTTACTAGTTGTTTAGGTGCTGTTACCCAATGTCGGAGTGTACCAAATATTGATAGGCCTGATTTTTGTCCTCATTGACATCCAATCAGTGTTATTGACTGAGTTTGCTCATTTGTGCACTACACCATGCAATTTGATTTTGCTTTCCCTGTTAAAGAATGACTGGCGCTCATTCACTTGCGTTGTTGTTCCGGCCTAACTGAGAATAGTAGTGTATAGCAAGTTTTAATGCATGTGCTTTTTAAGAATTTTGATCAGGACAAGTTGTGAGGGTGCTAGTATCTCCTTTTCTGTCTTGCTCATGTCCCACTACGAAGAATGGAAAAGGGCAAAGTAGAGTTGGATACTCAAGCACATAGTGATGTGGGTAGCAGTATCGTGTGAATGAGAAAATAAGTTGGGAGACTTTGCACATATGATCAGGAAGTAGAAGCCTGAGTGCATTGGAGGAATGTAATTTTATTAGGTATTGTATATATGTATGCATTATTCATAAGACTCCACGCCTAGCTTGCTTCTCTGCATTCTAATATTTTCAGTTTATCCTACATACGTTTGTGGAATATGGGATCTGCGTGCTTGTGTTTTTTAAGGGTTATCTGCGAGTTGATGTCAAGAAATGCATTGCAGGACCCAGGCATGTGGTTGGGTTGTCACATGCCTGTGACAAAGGTAGTGGGTCGGTGGACCAGTCAGCAAGCATCTGACTACTAGCCACTTCAGTGCCTAATTATTCTGTCGGTAAGATGGTCTTGAGGCTGTTACATTGACAGGAGCTCTCCTTTTGCCGCTTTTGGGCCAGTGGTCCTACGACCGGGTATGAATACGCCATGGCTAGATTTGATCAGCGAAAGCCTCGTTCTCCTTTTAGTTAAGGATTCCTTGCATATTCCTGGTCTTCTTCACTCTC